ACCCTCTGGGTTCGTCCATTTAACCAATTACAGATCCACCTCACCATAGTTTTGCCTAGCCCACATTGGACTTGTTTCCTTGCCAGAAGGTCATGGAGGACCTTGTCGAAGGCCTTACTGAAATCCAGGTATGCTCCATCCACGTCATTTCCCGCACCTACCCAGCTTGTAACTCTATCGAAAAAGAGATCAGATGAGTCTGGCATGACTTGTTTTTCATAAATCCATGTTGACTATTAGCAATGACCGCATTTGTTTCTAAGTGTTTGCAGACCATTTCCTTAACAATCTTTTCCAGAATCTTGCCCGATATAGACGTGAGGCTGACCGGACGGTAGTTGTTTGGGTCATCCTTTTTTCCCTTCTTGAAGATTGGGACCACATTGGCCCTCCTCCAATCTGCTGGAACTTCTCCCGTTCTCCAAGAACTCTCAAAGATGGTTGCCAATGGTTCCGAAATGACTTCCGCTAGTTCCTTCAATACTCTGGGGTGTAGTTGATCTGGCCCTGGGGACTTGAACTCATTAAGAGCGGCCAGGTATTCCTGGACGACTTCTTTCCCAATTTGGGGTTGGATGTCCTCCAACCCCAATCTCTTCTCATCTATCTCTTGACTGATCTCTTCTCATCTATCTCTTGGCTCATTATCTATTTTCTCTCTTGGCTTGTCATCTATTTGCTCATTAATTTCTGCAGGTGCATCCCCACACCCCTCATGGACATTATCATGGGAAACATGGGATCTCCTGGTCATTCTCTGCATCAATATCACTGCTATCTTGAAACTCATCTTGAACCTCATTAACACCATTCCCTATATCCAAAGCACCCTGATCCTGAAACACAATCACAGGCTGAACTCCAACAAGTACTTTATGTTGAGTTATACCTGCAATCTCCTGCAAAGAATCGTTGCCTTGTCGTGGTGCTGGAGCTTGAGCACCTCGATGATGCCATGAGTGAAACTGTGAAGGGATACCAAAGACAGAAAGGTCATGGCAGAGAGATCAGACCAAATACGATCCCTGAAGAAGGTAATGGCAATCCACCCCAGTATTCTTGCCATGAAAACTAAATGGGTCTGTACAACCAGAGATATGTCAATATACCATTGGAAGATGGGACTCCCTGTTGCATCCCAGATCAGGAAACGAGACCATAAGATTCAATCCACCACACTGGACTGTGAGAAAAACAATCCTTTTTTATTGATGAAAAATGGTTACAAAAGAAAAGTAAATGCAAAGTCAAAAAGCCACAGTAGAAACTCAGCAGTCAGGAAAAATCTTTGAACTTGAGCAAAATTCCAAAAACAACAATACAGACACCAGGAACCTGTTAGCATCACTAACCATACTTGAAAACTAGAAGCCTCTGGGAATGCAGGCCATGGAACGCAGGAAAACTGCCAAGGTGCTGCCTCAGTCTAAAACGTTGCTTGATCTAATGAGACAACCGGGGGGAGGCCCCTTAAACCAAAGAAACTATTTCTTGAAACGCCTCCAGACTTTGAAGCCTCCCTCTCCCGTAATCCATTTGACCTTCGTAGAAACCGTGATTCACTCCTGTTTTTCCAAATCTGTTCCCTTCGGTCCTCATTAAAAAACCCAGGTGTGATTCCCTCTGGAGAGCTATCACGGCCTGATTCCAAAACATTCTCATCAGGCTGTTCAGTTTCACTTTCCCCGCCACTGACTTCAGCATCAAGGGTTTCAACACTATCAGGGAAAGATACATGTTCAGTGGCTTGCTCAGTTGCATCAGGAAATACACTCAGAGAATCAGGTTCACACAGAGATTGAGGCTCAGTTTCACACGGAGGTGGCTGAACCCCAACACTCCCAGGTTGGAAAGATGGTCAAAATGCTACTGGGGAGGAACAGAGGGTAAGTTCAACTAGCCCCAGATGTGGAGAAGATAATGATGCTGGGAAAAAAATGGAAGGAAAAAGGAAGAGGGGCAGACCAAGGACGAGATAGATGGATGGTATCTTTGAAGTGACTGCTTGACCTTGAAGGAGCTGGGGGTGGCCACAGCCGACAAGGAGCTCTGGTCCATGAGGTCACAAAGAGTCAGAAGCGACTGAATGAATAATAATAAAAAACACCTGCAATCCATCTTATACAAAGGCTAGCTTCTTCCAGGCAATCAACCTTTCCCAAAAATGGTAGCTAAAATCCTGCATTGCATTGGTAAATGTAATAGAAATAGCTAATGCTATGTCTATTCCTCTTTCCTTGAACATATTGGGGATTTTCCAAAAATGTTTCTAAACTGTGGATAAAGCATGCAAATGAATTTCCCTGAAAATAGCTAATAGACCATTGCTGAATTCTGTGTTTTGTATAAGATTCTGTGGTGTAGGGCAAAACTATACAAGAACCACACTAAATCAAAACTCAAAGTAAACGATGCTTATAGATACAAACTAAGTACAACAATTTTATTTCACTCCTAGATTCTTAGAGTTCCCAAACTATGTTGTAAGGGCAATAGAGGTTAACCGTTGCCCTCCAGCAATTGGCATTTATTAGCATATTTTAAAATTAAATATGGATAATTAATCTATGACTAATAATTATTGATGTTCCAGTTCTCACATCATATCACTTTGCTAATCTGGTGTCTGGAAGAAAAATCCATATGTCTACAGGTCATGCTTTGACATTCCTTGATATGTACCAAAATATGATAGTTGTACCCATACCACCTGAACAGTATAGGTTATTTATTTATTTATTTATTTATTTATTTATTTATTTGAAGACGGCTCGGAAGCTCCAGCTAGTCCAACGCTCGGCAGCCATGATACTAACAGGAGCGGAGCGCAG